GCTTGGGACTTATGATTTAAACTGTTGATGTTATTACCGAATACCGTAGGTACTTGGAAAAATTATGGTTACCACCGATAATTAAAATCCTTTTTGGGACATTAATGATGAAAAACTACTTTCTCTGTTACATTTGTCCGTTGTATATCATATATAGGATTACTTTTAAAAAATGTGACTCCGACGTGTCTGCTTTGAATTGTAATCTGTTGTCTTGAGGAGTATGTCGAAGTCTATGTAATATGTGGTATATATGTAAAACTAATTGAGGTCGCCTTTAATGGTATATTGATGATATGATACGTGTTTTTGCCACAATGCAAAATGGCTTTTAGATTTCCTGAACACACAAGATGTGTATCACCTGTACAATCGGTTCTCATACTCTTCTGACATACAAGACACGATCATGAGTATTAGGACCATGATTCTGTGAGTAAAATTTTAAAAAAATATCTAGACGCCAACAATATTCCGAAAGTACGTGTTTTTCGTATGGTGTTATAATGAGAGATTGTAATTTAACATTCCCTTTCAATGAACAACATAATATATTCGTTACGACCTGCGCTGAGTATGGAACATTCCTACTTCATACTGTAACTGGTTTTAGAAAAGAATTTACCTTTTCACGAAGGTTGAAATGAGAGAAATAGTGAGATACCGTGTCTAACACACATGGTGAACCCTCTGCACTGGATATTGTCAAATCTCCCAGGGACAGCTGCCGATCGTCTTGACGAAGACCAACATTATTGCAAATCGTTGCTGGTACCCCCAAACGCATCCACACGCACCATAGAAGTATTGATTACACATAGTGTTTAAACTTTCGATTTCTACATAAAATATATTTCCAAATACTTTCATATTGTTTCATATTTCTGACAACATTCTAATTTTTCACAAGAGGCCGACTTCTTTGCCTCCTTTACATACACACGTGCAGTCCAACATACATGTACATGATTCAGCTTGGCCCCCTTTCTGTCCACGATGATGATAGGCCGCGGTTAAGCAGCTCCCAAATTGGGAACACATATCATTTAATGCAACCAAACACATCATGGACGTCTACCCCTTGACACGTAATGCATTGTTAACTTGACAACAGGATGTGAAAGTGTGAAATGAATGTACCATATAATCTATGTTGACACGAATTGATGACAGAGTCTGGCGTTTTCTAGAACACACACCCACCATTGGCAAAGGTTAAATCAGCCATGGTTTGAACATACGGAGTAAGTTTGTGTAATGTCTCAAGTTACAGTATATGTAAATACAACACGTCAACGTCCCAACGAGTTTGTGTTGCTAAGGGTACTTCTGTGTGCTTGTATGATGTTTGACGCAACATTCGAGCCATATGGTGGCAGTATATTATTGATGGGTTGACACAATGAGAATCAAACCACGCAATTGGTTGACTTATCAACCAGGACAGCGAGCCTGACCACCACATCTATAAGTTGTGTATAGTCTAGTCACATTCACCCCATGGTGGTACAGCCAAATGACTACGAAACAGCAAAGTTATATGAACCAATTGATCCGAGCTTATCAGAATCGATTAAAAAAACTTAATGACGGACATGTTTTGATCACGTGTTGATCAAGGAGGACCAGTGTGTATACGTGCATTGTCTAACGACCTTCCATGTGAACTATTGGAACTTTTATATCACCCGTACCTGTTACGTGATATGTTGGTGGTGTTGCTAAGGAACCAGGGTGGTGTGAACAGTTAGGTCGGGATGACTTCAAATGGAACTCCAACAAGCTGGGTAGCGTCACAGGGGCGAGGACACCTGTTATTCAATACAGCACGAGCTTTGTTCTGATTTATTCACCCACTTGTTGGTGGTGGTTGTTTAATGTCGGTGTAATTTATTGTTTCTGCTGAGATTCAGTAGAAGTGTTTTGAGACTGTATTTGGATGATTTTTTTGAGTAAAATGTAACCTGGAATATTCTAGAAGCTTCCTGGAGGTATTAAAATTAAATTAAGTGCCTGCCTCTCTCGTCTCAAATAACATCTCACATAATATCAAGACCAGATGTTATGTGACAATCATCTCATTAAAGACGCGTTGTTGCAAATAAGGCAGGAGAATTGCGTTATTTGGCACCAAATATATTTCTATATTGGAAATGGAGGAAATTAAATCATTGGGCACAGCATGGCTTCTGTGTGACGCCAGGTGTGGAGGGATCTGCGTTATAGCGAACAATATGGCTTCTTTGTGACTCAAGCAGTAGTCGGAATTACGTTATTGGGCTCAACATGGCTTCTGTGTGACCACAGAAAGGGAGGGGAATTGCGTTATCAGGAACAACATATAGCTTCTCTGTGACCACTGTAGTTTAGGTAATTGAGTTATTAGGCACAAAATAGCTTACAGGAAAATAGAGGGAATTGCATTAATGTCCACAGCATGGCTTCTACGTGACCCCAGTAGAGAAGGGAATTGCGTTATTGGGCAAAACATGGCTTCTGTGTGACCCCAGTAGTCAGGAGAATTGCGTTATTGGGCACAACGTGACATTTGTGGAGGGGATTGCGATATTGGGCACAACATGTCTCCTGAATAGGGATCTACATTATTATCCAGAACATGGCTTCTACGTGACCCCAGTAGTGAAGGGAATAGCGTTTTTATCCACAGCATGGCTTCTGTGTGAACTCAGCAGGGAGGGAATTGCATAATTGCTCACGACATTGCTTGTGTGTGACCCCATTAGTGGAGGGAATTGCGTTTTGGGGAACAACATAGCTTCTGTGTGACAGGGATTTACATTATTATCCATATCCACATTATAGTGAGTGAGGATGGTTTTACGCCGCTTTTAGCAATATTTCAGCAATATCATGGGGGGGGGGGGGGGGGGCTTCACACAATGTACCCATGTCGGGAATCGAATGCAGTTCTTTGGCGTGACGAGCAAACGCTTTAATCACTAGGCTACCCGACCGCCCCTGACCCCAGTAGTGAAGGGAATACCGATATTGGGCACTACATCATGGCTTTTATGTGACCCCAGTATTGGAGGGAATTACATTATTGGGCACAACATTGCTTCTGTGTGACAGCAGCAGTGGAGGCAACTACATTGATATCCACAACATGGCTCCTACGTGACCACTCTAGTGAAAGGAACTGCCTTATTGGCCACAACGTGTCTCCTGTGTGAACCCAGCATTTGAGCAAATTGCGTTATTGGGCGCAGCATGGCTTCTGTTTGACGCCAGTAGTGGAGGGAATTGCGTTATTATTGACAACATCACTTCTACGTGACCCTAGTGGTGAAGGGAATTGCGTTATTGGGCACAACATGGCTTCTGTTTGACCCCAGTAGTGAAGGGAATTTTATTATTATTCACAACATCACTTCTACGTGACCCTAGTAGTGAAGGGAATTGCGTTATTAGGTACAACATGGCTTCTGCGTGACAGCAACAGTAGGGGCAATTACGTTATTATCCACCACAAGGCTTGTACGTGACCCCAGTAGTGAAGGGAACTGCGTTATTTGGAACAACATGGCTTCTGTGTGAACCAAGTAGTTGAGGAAACTGCGTTATTGGGCACAACATGGCTTCTGGGTGATGGCGGCAATAGAGGGAAGTGTGTTATTGAGCACCAAATGGCCTCTGTATGCAGAAGTAGTCGAGGGAATTGCTTTAATGGCTTCTTTTTGTCCAACTAGTGGAGAAAAGTAAGTTATTGGGAACATCATTGTTTTTGTGTGATCCCAGTAGTGGAGGAAATACGTTCTTGCGCACAACATGGCTTCTATGTGACAATAGCAGTAGGAGGAAAATACGTAATTTTCCACAACATGGCTTCTACGTGACCCCAGTAGTGAGGGGAATTGCGTTTTTTATGTACAACATGGCTTCTATGCGATGCCTTGAATTACAGAAACCAACAACACCTCAACATTGACACCATCAAAGGACTGATACTGGAACAACGGCCTGGGAAGGAGAGGGAAAAATTCAGCTTGGATTACCCTCATCAAATCATTTGTAAAGGACCTCGCCACGGAAACGCTCTTGTGACCCGACCCACTCTTTATGGAGGACACACTCTTTCTGGACGACACATGGCGACTCTCTGGAGGGACATTCTGGAGGGACCTTCTCCTTCTTACACCTTGTGTCATCCTTCTCATCCTAACTATGATTCATTTCAAGAATGTCTGAGGTCTTTTCAAAAGTGGCCTAAACAGATGACCCAGACCCCTTATGACCTGGCCATGGCTGGCTATTTCTATCAAAGACGAAGTGACCATGTTATCTGTTATTGCTGCGGTGTGACACTCTGCCAATGGAGAGCCACAGACAAACCCTGGAAAGAACATCTGAAGCAAGTCAAAGTCCCCTGCGAATACTTGTGTGTTTGATCCTGATGGAGAAGTGAACGAAAAATACAGACGTTTGTTGTCCAGAGAAAGACGGAAGAGAAGAGTCGAGTGTCTTGTTCACGCCTAGTGACAAAGTTTCCTTTTTTCCCCAAAGTTTACAAACGTTCACACCCTCTTGGTCACCCTAATGTTCACAAAAATCACAGGGACGCCCCTAGTCCTGTGACTTTTTGTTGTATTGTGTTGGTTCATGTGAGCGGTGGATTAATACGTTGGAAAAGACATTAGTGTGGTGTTGACTTTGTTTTTAGGATGGAGAAAAAAAAGAACAAGATCGAAATCTGACGAATCAGATACTTGGGTTTTGGACCAATCAGAGGCCGCGCTCGGACCGTGCTGGCCTCTGATTGGTCGAACCGAGGTTGTGCTTTCTCTCCCATGGTAAAATCCATTTCCTATGGAAAAGAAACACAAGCGTCGGTCCGTTTTGGAAAACCGAGGTGCAGACCAGGAGCCGGAACGAACCAATCGGTGTGCTGTGTGGTGAACCACTCAGGGAGCAGGGTGTCAGTCCCTTTCCTATTAAACAAGAGCGAAACAACACTCACACTGTATTCTATAAAATCAACCATGTCGTCTCGATACAGCTGCATGAAGTGCCAGACCGACAGTCACAGTGACCTGTACTGCCCTGAAGTGACATGTACCGAGTGCCACACTCAAGGTCACCGCCACTATGTCTGTCCTAAGATAAGCAGTCAAGATAAGCAGAAGACTCCCCAGGGCGCATGTTACAACTGTCAAGTTGTGGGTCATTTCGCTGCAGATTGCCCAGAACCCAGTCGAAAGAAAACTTCAGCAGCGCCTTCCATGTTGACACCAGTGGCACCCGTGGCACAAGTGACACACGTGCTTCATCTCATAGTAGCCATGCATGTCGATGCATCGCACAACTCCATACAGGCATCACACCGAGTCTTGGGAAATGAAAACGGGACAGAAGCCCCTCAAGAAAGCACACTTCAAAGCGCCTGAGTAAAGTGACGAATGCATGGGACATGCTGCTCCACTGTTTTTCCAGTTTCCAATCGTTTCCAGTGAGGGTTATAACAAAACATTTTCATTCCATGAATTACTTACTGCCCTTCGGCAAGCTCGTGATACTGCAGCAGGAGCCGACAACATCTGCTATCAGCTCCTGAAACACTTTCCCGATTCATGTTTGGAAACTTTACTTACTATATTTGATTAAATATGGACAACCGGAAATTTCCGTCCTTCATGGCACAATGTTGTTGTTATTCCTGGACGGGACCATACAGAATCATCCAATTACCGTCCCATATCATTAACTAGCCGTATTTGTAAAACCATGGAGCGCATGGTCAACAATCGATTTAGTCTGATACTTGGAGACCAATAACCTCCAGTGTGGTTTCCTAAAAAAATGAAGTACCATTGACCATTTGGTGCGTTTAGAATCATTTATTAAAAAGTCCATAACCAGCAAACAACATACTGTATCAATCTTTTTCGATCTGGAAAAGGCATATGAAACAATGTGGAAACATGATATTTTTGAGGGGCAAACTATCTCAGTCCATATATCAATTTTCAAACAACAAACAAGTTCAAGTACGAGTGGGCTCTACCCTGTCTGATCATTTCCATAAAGATAAGGGCGTCCCTCAAGGTTGTGAACTATGAGCCACACTTTTCAGCATCAAAATTAATAGTCACACTAAAGTATTAATCACTAGCGTTGATGGTTTACTTTCTGTGGACGATTTCAACATTTCTTTCGTAGTAAGCATATGCATACAATATAAACACAGCTACAGTTCTGTCTTAAAAAAATAAAAATAAATTCGAAAACGACTTCAAATGTTCAAAATCCAAAATAAACTGTATTCACTTTTGTCATAAGTATAAAACCCACAAGGATGTATGATGTATTTTAGATGGTACTCCTTTCAAGGTAGTAGAGGAAGCCAAATTCTTTATCTCACATTCTTATATTTAAGGACAAAGTGCCTGAAGGCTCCCGACAACTTATCTTAACAGCTTTGACCCATTTCAAACATCAAAAACAATCTAAAACATTCATCATCTTCTCTGATTCTTCAGGCACTAAAAGTGCCTCCTGAAATCATTTTCATCATATCACCCTATTTTTTTAGAACTATATAATGATCTTTCCACTGGCCAATGTGACATCGTCATGCAAAGTCATGTAGGCATAATAACTCAAAAGCTGATGCTGCATCTAAAGCAGCTCTTGACAAACCATTTTCTCCACTACTTATCCTGTACAAGGATTTCAAACCAACAGATGCCAAATTTTGCTTGACTGTGTGGACTTTGCAGTCGCAAGGGATTCACATTATCAAAGATAAACAAAATATTTTTCCCCTGTAAGCGGGCATCTCGTCTGAAGTTACTTAAGATATACTTTATATATGTATATGAATGATTAAATACCTCTTTTGAATGTTTGGTGTGATGCTTTTATCAACTGATTATTATTGAAGACTCTGTCCAGGAGGTTAAAGTATCGTCAAATTATTGTCCCCCTGTGTGACACGTACTTCTATCATAACCGATGTAACTATCATCAACCAGTGTTTTTTTAAGCCAACTCATTGTTGAGTGTCTTTTAATATTGGCTAGCACTTTGCAAAACCACCAGTGGCTAAAGTGATGACGTAAATCCTGCTGGGGTATCAAGCAGGAAGCCAAGTTACAGTAAGTCCCCATCATCTCCAGCTAGGTGGCCTAGCTTTGGTTACTAGTGGCCAGTAGCCCGTGTTTTAAAACCGTAAACATGATGTTGTTATGCTAAAATATGTTTTTTAAACATAATTTTGCATATATGACTCAATTGTGAATATATTAACTTGGTCTCATCACTATATGGCTGAAATAATGCCGATGCGACGTTCAATTTTAACTCACTCACTCACTTACTCACTAAGTATTGTAAATTACATTGGGTTAGGAATAGAAATTCATATTCAACAAAAATGCTGATTGGAATAGTGTTAATCAGGCATATTCCGTGTATATGTTAGAACTGTTGTAGTTTGCTCATCCTCACTTCGCAGAAGCTTGCAGCAGTTGGACTTTCTAGGGATGCCAGATTGGTAATGGAAAGCAAATCCTGTATAATGGTTTGTTATGGGGTGGTCCTATTGTCACACAATGGTGCAGATTTTATGCCTACACATATATACTTTATGATCATTTTTGAGAGATAGACTTAAACGACTTAAACGACAAAGTTACGTGGCCAGAGAAATGCTGACAGAACGCATTCTACAATCAGCTTGAAAAATGAAACCTTCCACAGTTGAGTCAAGTTTTCCAAAATCATATTAGCTGATGTCATTTCCAATGAATATTGCTAATTCGTGAAATACATTATTGATAAATCAATCTTGATATCCACAACTTATTGTTGTGGATGTTGTGTACTGAAAACACGTTTAACCTCTGGAGATCTATTCTTTTACAGTGTGGACAAAAATGAAATGAGTAATAAAAAGTTGATTTGGCAAGAAAAGTTTCTCCTTTTTTACTCCTTTAGTAGACGTGAAAACCGCCTACTATCAACTCATCAAACAATAATCACTTATCCTGTTTATTGGCTTCATGTCCCTATTGGCTTCCACCTATGTGTTCTCTGTCCATTGTGTTGAGACCGCATTATCCCCTTGTTGTCAACACCTACCATTGTTATCCCACTCATAAGAAATCTCCGCTACAGCCGATAGTACGTGTCCGACTATATCATGAGCAAGTGTTTACGAATCACTATGAAAAGGTGAGCCCCCACCAGTGACACCAGTCAGACGCACATGCAAAGGCAAGTCGCAGTTCAGTAGTGTCCCTATTTTTGGATTTCACTCTGTGGGTTGAATTTATTTCTCGTGCTCCAAAACATGCTCCAATAAATATGCTGAGAATCACAGCAAAGAAATACTAATACCATCACTTAAATCTATTTACGGGCTAGGAATTCCGTCATATAGCTATAAGTTCAGTGATGCTTTTGCTAAATCAAATCGTCAGTTTTTATTGTGATGAATGGTTTATTCACAACTGCCTTGAGTTTTTGGATATGCTGATTTATTTTGCCTCTGGTATTATCCTTCATTGATTTGTACTATTTATTATTTATTTCATTTTTGGAGACACAAGATTGGTTTTGAGTCTTTGGTGAATAAAATTGAATTTACTGACGATACGAGGGGCCCATCACAGCCTACAATCGCTTTGTAAACATATATATCACAGCGCCCAAACCTATCCCAGATGATATCAACGCTGGGATGGCCCAGCTGACTGATTCATTTTGTAGCGGCTCAGCATTATCTTCAGATACAGCTTGTGTCTCCTCAGTATCAGGGGCATCCTCATACATGTTCTTCTGAAGTTTTAAATCAATCATCTTCTCCACTTGGTCAGCCACAGAGGTGAGGATTCTGTCAAGAGCTCTCAGGTGAAGCAGTTTGGTGTTGGTGTCTGTGTCTGTTTCTGTCACATAATTCTTCACGTAACTGATGGCGTATGGTGGAATGCCAGTATCTTCTGACACGTTCTTCACAGCTTCCTGTACTAGAGGGGAAGTGTACAGGTTGTGGATGTTTCCTGGGTCCTTGAACTGAGGGTCACACTCATCCAGGTGAGTCAGCACCAGGTGGTAGGACAGGGCTGAAACAAGATACATTAAATCAGTACAGGCGAAATAACACAACTATAGTATAGCAATCGTAAAAAAAACATCCTAAAGCATATCCCACTTATCGTATATGGATACACATTTCGAAAGGAGTGACCTTGACCTGATATATAGCCTCATTTCAATACATGGATTCTGTTTTATGAAAAAACAAGTAATTTTAAAAGTGATTATCCTGAATATTGTCCTTCATATTCATATTTTTTTACATTCTTCTTCTACTATTTACAAAAAAAGACTTTGAATACAGTTGGAGATTGTTATCTATCATCTGATATCACTAAATAACCTGAAGTGAAAATAAAGGAGATCAAAGAGACCGCCTCGCTTGTTTCATATTCCGATTCCTGCATAAAGATTCAGCTTGACAAAACACTTTCAACAACACTGCATGACAGAGATATTCATCCAAGACATGAGGACAAGGCTGAACTGTGACTTGCCATTGCATGTGTTTCTGATGGGTGCCACTGGTGGGCCAAGGCACGCTCACCTTTTACGAGAACACCTGGTCTCTTCACAATTTCATGGTGAATTATGGAGGCCTGCTTATGATATGGTCGGAATTATTCCATCAACTCAAGATGCTGTTACATAGGCGCTTTGAGACGATAAATGACCTATTCATATACCATAAACTTTCTTCGGTTGTATTTTGGAAGTATTCAAATCACCAGCAGCAGTCAAATTCACTGAGAAAAATACCTTGAAAGTCTGTTAAGTTCAATTAATTCACACAGTTTCAAACATACACATGGCAGTTTTATTTGTTTCAGGACCTGAGGGGTGTGCCAATGTTTTAACTTACCGCCATCTCCCCCCAATCGTATGACAGCATCTATCTGACGTTTCAGTTCATCACCCACAGTGATGCCATGATGGAGAACCAGCACAACACATGACACATCCCTTCGTGCTTCTTGCAGGTTGCCTGTCACATCAAGACGTTTTGTAATCTGGAAACAAAAAAATGTATCAGTAGGTCATGAATGTTGATTTTGCAAATGTATATTTCAATTTCTATTTTGTCCATATCTAAAACTTTAAGATAATAGTACTGTGCAGTGCTTACCTGGGCATCAAAGCGAACCCTGCCGGATGCAATAGCTTCAATATTCTCCGTTTTGAAATCACTGGATTCAAATATTCCTGGCATGTCAATAATCCAGTGGTCCCCATATTGTGTAGAATGGAACTGTAAAATAAACTGGTTTGGGTGAACAGTGAAATAATAATAAGTCCATTTATACTGCGCCCGTTTCCATTCACCAAGTTAGTGCTCATGGCACTACATAGTTTTAGCAAGTAATGCTAATGAAAGGGGGAGTAGAGTTGATAGAGTTGTGTGAAAAGGTGTGTTTTCAGGTGAGCCTTAAAGGATGAAAGCGATGGCGACAGCTTAAGATCAGATGGTAGTTTGTTCCATAACGAGGAAGCGCAGAACTCGAAAGATCTCTGACCAAAGGCTTTGAGACAGGTTTCCGGGACTTGTAACAGGTGGTTATTCTGAGAACTACAAAAGAGAGACCTGGATTTAGGCAGTAGTTCAGTGAGGTATAATGGGGCTGTTTCCATGTAGGCCAGGGTAAGAATTTTGAATTGTATTCTGGCTTTGAGTGGTAACCAGTGCAGCGACATAAGAGCAGGTGTTACTGAAGTCCATTTTGATGTCTTCCTGACGATATGTGCTGCTGTATTTTGTACACGTTGGAGCCTGTGGAGTTGATCATTTGTGATGTTACTCATGAGACTGTTGCAATAGTCAAGCCGTGATATAATAAAAGATCTAACCAAAGTGCGTGCAGCTTCTTTTGTGAGTAGATGTCGAAGTCTTCCAATGTTGCAGAGATGAAAGAAGCAGGACCTTGAGACATGGCTTACATTTTGTTCCATAGTTAGTCCACTGTCCAAATAAACGTCAAGATTTTTCACTGATTTTGAGAATTCCATATTTGAATCACCAACAAGAATCTCATTAACTCTCATTTTCTCAAGATTTGTTCGGCTACCAATCAATAAAGCCTCTGTCTTTTTATCGTTTAATTTTAGTTTGTTCTCAATCATCTACGACTTGATAGCTCTAATGCAATCTTCGACTTTTTGAAGCTCTGTTTCAGTTTCAGATGGCATGAAAGACTTCATCAGTTGCGTATCATTGGCGTAGCAATGATAGCTCAGTAGTCGCTTAGAGATGATATGACCCAAACCTTTAGTGTACAGTGTGAAAAGAATGGGGCCCAGAACTGACCTTGGGGAACCCCACAAGAGAGAACAAAACTATCATGAAACATGAGGTGATGACTGGGATTTCTGTGAATGGCATTGACACCTAGTTAATTCTGTACGCGCAACGCAAACTTCTCCTGATATAAATGAACGTGTAACATTTTCTTTAAGAAATGTGCAACACAAATATTAGTTTTATGGAATCTTTGTAGTCAACGGACAAAACAAAAGCATTTTTTTTACAAAGAAAAGGTTTTGGCACTGACATGTCCGAATTAACATATTAACGAAGTGCTAGGTGGTGCATGAGTTCCAGTTCAAGGATCAGGAAATGTTTGAAGAAAACGTTAATGGGTGTATTTTAGGTTATTATTTTAAAGATTGGGGAAATGACTTTCCAGTGATGCAAGAGGTTATAATGTTTCTAGTGAACTAATTCAGCAGCTTCAAAATCTACAGTGAATGTATAGATAAGTATGACGTTTGTTAAAATAAATATCATGAACATTGTGGATCCTCTCTTTAAGAACCTCAGAGACCTGTGTGTGAAAATAAGTCACCCGAAAAACAATAGATGAAGACAGAGGAGGTTTCTTAGTATGCATATGTTTCTGTGAAATTAACAACAGCTTCTTGTTAAATCAAGTTTCAGCTTATTCCAGATTTGTTCCCGGGTAAATACTTACACTGCTAGTAAGTGAATCGTCAATATTACCAACGGCATAGTAGTTGGAAGGTGCGACAGAATCCTTCAGTGCTGATCTCAGGCCATTGCAGAATGAGGACTTTCCGGCACCGCTAGGGCCAAACATCAGGATCTTTCCACGAATCAGCTTCCCTTCCTTGTCATACATGTGTTCAAGAAATTTCTTGCTGAGTCGTTCAACCTCCTGCAGAGTGTTTAATTGAAAGCAGTACAAGATACAGATATCGAATACATATAAGTAGCAAGGAGAGTTCAAACATGTGCAAGAGTTTGATTACTAATGATTTTATTATCTCATATTTTAAACAATCATATTTATCTACTGATACCTGAGATGTCCATGTTCCTCGTTCTGTCTTCTTTGGTCCCCATGCAAATTGCTGAAAATGTAGAACCAAGATAAGGTTGGCTAGGCTGTCTAGTGACCGGAGCCAAGGTCAGCTGTCTACCAAAAACTCAAGAGTTGGTAATCATATCTTCCATTCCCTTGTCTCCCGAATGTTTTGGATGCATCCTATCAGTATTGGCCGTTTAGATATGACGACAGTATCTTTAGGGACCCTCACTTTTACATCACTTACTATAGGAAGATGTGCCACTCAATTGACCCAGCATGTTAATCTTAAAATAATATTTTTAACTAATAAATCTCTAGACAACTACAGCGTCTTTAACATTAACTTGCTTTCACAGACTGACAAACACTATCCGTGCCTAGGGAAACATCGTGCATATGAAACAAACATTGTGTTCTCCACCCAGGACATCTGAATGAGGTTATCTACCGCAGAACTTTACTTCATTATAAACTGATCCCAATGACAGCCAACAATAGCTTTAGGTGATAGGAATTATCCAGTTTATAGCCTGTGAACAAAACAGATTCCGAAACTTCCAATGCCACTGGAAACAAGCAACCTGTTACTGTACTGCATGTTTTACAACGTCATTTTCGTGGCAGACAGTGTTGGAATGTTCGTATGAGATAACAGGCCTGGACAAATAGATTTGAGAGGCTATACCTTCCAAAGCCACCAGATGATATGATTTACCATCATGTGCACCATTTTCACTTCGTTAAAAGCAGAAACTTTATGACCAGCAGTGGCACAAAGATACACGGTTTCAAAATGAGATGCATATTGTAACTACTGTACCACATGTGTAACAATAGACTTGTAAGTCACTGCCAAGTCACTGCAAAATCATAAATTACAATTTACACTCTCTCATGCATTATTTCATCGAAAGCATTTGCTTGTACTAAAGCAACATTTTCACCATGATTTCATGGTCTTGTACTGTCTTTTGGACAGTTTTCCTATCTAGCAAATGTTGAAAATCATTTATCCCAAAAGGACGCAGCCATGACCTTGTGTTCTCTCCGGCCTAACTGGCTTCTTTCTTGTTAAGGCCACTCACTACTTACCATTAAACTTTCATCTTTCCTTTGTTTTTCTTCTTTCTCTTTCTCAAGGCGTTGCTTTTCTTGCTCAGCAGTTTCCTTATATAGTCTCATCTTCTCAAACTGTTCTTCTGCAGTTGACAATTGCCTGGTCTTTTTATCTGCATGTTCTTGTGCCTCTTTTGCCCTCTTTCTCTGTACCGTTGCATCTTCATGTGCTATAAGAGCTTTTTGGATTTCCATTTTGGCTTGTTCTTCAGCTTCTTTGGCTCTTGCAGCACTTACATCTGCTTCTTTCTTTGCTTTAGCAGCAGCCATCCTTTCCTGTTCTGCACGTTCCCTCTCCTCATTCGCTCTTTGGTTTTCTTTTTGGGCTTGTTGTTTAGCTTGTTCAGCTGTTCTTGCACTTGCAGTTGCTTCTTCCTTTGCGTTTTCAGCAGCCATCCTTTCCTGTTCTGCACGTTCCCTCTCCTCATTCGCTCTTTGATTTTCTTTTTGGGCTTGTTCTTTAGCTTGTTCAGCTGTTCTTGCACTTGCAGATGCTTCTTCCTTTGCTTTAGCAGCAACCATCCTTTCCTGTTTTGCACGTTCCCTCTCCTCATTCGCTCTTTGGTTTTCTTTTTGGGCTTGTTCTTTAGCTTGTTCAGCTGTTCTTGCAATTGCAGATGCTTCTTCCTTTGCTTTAGCAGCAACCATCCTTTCCTGTTCTGCACGTTCCCTCTCCTCATTCGCTCTTTGGTTTTCTCTTTGGGCTTGTTCTTCAGCTTGTTTGGCTCTTGCAGCACTTACACCTGCTTCTTCCTTTGCTTTAGCAGCAATCATCCTTTCCTGTTCTGCACGTTCCCTCTCCTCATTCGCTCTTTGGTTTTCTCTTTGGGCTTGTTCTTCAGCTTGTTTGGCTCTTGCAGCACTTACACCTGCTTCTTCCTTTGCTTTAGCAGCAATCATCCTTTCCTGTTCTGCACGTTCCCTCTCCTCATACGCTCTTTGATTTTCTCTTTGGGCTTGTTCTTTAGCTTGTTTAGCTGTTCTTGCATTTGCAGCTGCTTCTTCCATTGCGTTTTCAGCAGCCTTCCTTTCCTGTTCTGCACGTCCCCTTTCCTCATTCGCTCTTTGGTTCTGCATTCTGGCTTGTTCTTCAGCATTCTGAGCTCTTATTGTACTTGCAGTTGCTTCTGCCCTTGCTTTTTGAGCATCTCTCCTTTCCTCTGCTGCACGTTCCTTTGCCTCCTCCGCTCGCCTGCTCTCGGCTCTAGACGATTCTTCTGCCTTTGCTAACTGTTTTTGTGCATATATGTTCAACTTTAGTAAGCATTATTCCAGCTTAATATCATGATGACATATAATCTAATATTGTCTGCGCAATACCAATATGTGACTTATATTTTTTGTGTTTTGCTTGCGTTACTTGTTGACATTAAGTTAAATAATTTTAACTTAGTTTGTTGGTAGTACTGGTTCCTTATTAATTTTTATGCACAGAACGCAGGGATAATGAGGAAGAAATGTATTATTTTGTAACTCAGTGTTGATTACTGCGAAGTTTGAAAATCCAGTGGAGTTTTAGGGTCTGAATAGAAAGATCACTTGTGGCCTTTTGTAAGATGTGTAGAATTGATTGAAATATTCTGATTAACCTGGAATAATGCCGACAACATCAAAAGAAAACAACAAACAGACATCTATTGGAATGCACATATATAATCACAAGTCTAAATAATAACGTTAGTGTAAGGGATCTTAATTGTTTTTGTATGGGGTTCATATTGATCAAACGCCAAGAAACAGAATCTTGTAGTGTTCACGTTCAAAAGCCTTTCATTAATGCTGACATTTATGAATGGCTCATTAAAAGTACAAAAATGAGCTGAATAGCATACATTAAAACAAAGTGGGTAATCAACTCCACATTACGTTTGGTGTTATGCATTATAGCTGATACACGTTATGCCCATGGTGTATTCATTTCTAGAAAATGGTATTTGTTGGGGTTCAAAAGAAACCTCCAGTATTACTTACCTTATCAGCAGAAACTGTAAGGGAACCATATGCAACTTGTTAACTTTTACTGCATTACAAAATGATAGAGGTAAGCATGGCTTAGTTTTGGTTTTCCAAACTGTCATTAAGAAGTCGTGTTGAGTGTTCTTTACTACTGTGAGAGATATTCATTTATCTAACAATAGTCCTAAAGATTCACCAATGACTCAAAATGTTAGTTTATCAATAATGAGAATGATAATATTATCAACTAAAGTTATACTTCGGTTGGTAACCGTAAGATTAATGCACAATGGGAATAATGAAGACATTAGATAGTTGTGAATCACATATTATTGTTTACAAAGTTTGAGCTATCTAAAAGCATCTAGAGTAGCAAATATCCCTTGTTCTCCTTATGACTTCAGATTATGAAACTTTAATGTGCATATTTACCAAGGCCCAAGAAGCTCATGACTTATTGCTGTGCTGAAAAAAGGCAATATCATGATCATTATGATGGATTCTCCTTTCAGTTGAGAATTCTTATGATTAATGTAATGAGTCTGTCGCTTTTATTTTTACTCATGTTAAATTACCAATTTCAGCAAAACGGTAAAACTCAGTTATGCACATAGTGACTTCACATATGTACCCGCATCATTACAATATGAAATATACTGAGTCAAATTAAAAACTTCACATTTTTTAAAAGTAATCCCATATATGATATACAACGGACAAATGTATCAGAGAAGGTAATTTTTAATCATTAATGTCCAAAGAAGGATTTTAATTAACGGTGGTAACCATAATTTGTTCCAAGCACCTACGGTATTCGGTAATAACATCAACAGTTTAAATCATAAGTCCCAAGCACTAGAACCTGATGGCACACAAGTTCAGAAGCGTGTATGGCGCACTCAGTCTGCCCCTAAACAGTTCATTTTTGGTTGAGGTAGCCATCAAAAATCGGAGGTGACGTAAGACAATCTGACGACCCTCTGCATGTGACGTCACACGTGGTCGACCTGACCGAGGGCGATCAGCGGTGGTACCCGTTTGCTGTAGACGCATCTGTAAATCATAAACAGTCCGTCGACGACATCCCATCGTCCTTGCGACTTCAGCTACGGACGTTCCCGTCTGCAACATGCCGATGGCACGTTCACGTTGCACATTTGAAAGGCATGGCATGACAAATGGCCGTAAAAACTTTTGTTTTCTTGTGTTTTTAATTTTTTGGTAATGACTGCTAACAAGTATGGCTGAATACACGTGCGGTATTATGACCACGTGACCAGTTGCACGTGAAAAAACACTTTTGCCACTAAAGTGCTGTGCACATGATTTTGATCGATTCACCTACACAAAAACGGGTGTTATCTGACGACAAAACGTGGCCATTACTGTTTAAATACACAATAAAGGCCCACAATGAAAACTGGTCAAAATGTTAAAATTTTAGGATTGTGAAGTTTTTAATTTTGTTCAGTATTGTATAGCTAAAATTGATAGAATTATCATCAAACAGCCCGCATATTATCAGGCGGGCCACTGTATGATAATGCCCTCATATTGCTTGACGACAGGCCATTATCACGCCCGTTGTTAGGTGACGTCATAGGATAGGGAGAGTGACGTCACGTTTAAAAGTGACGTCATCTGGTTTGTTCTATGACGTTACTATATTTGTAAAAGTGGGTCAGTGACATACGGGTTGATTGCAGTAAATGTTTTAACCCTCTGGATGCCGAGTTTTTTTTCTGACGCACATTTTCCTAAGATTGGAAAAGTGAAGGTTGTGCGAGAATTGCGCTCACGCGACACTGGATCTACCCCTGGCTATAAAATTACGCAGGGATGGAGCATATTGAATTTCCTATTTGATGGTGTAAATTTAACTGCGAATATTAAGCCGGTTTTAAAAAAATACACTTCTAAGTGTTGTCCGAGAATCTATTCTGCGGTGAAAAACAGTAAATTTCTCCGCTTTTTATCGTACACCAATAAAAGTACTGTGCGACAAATTTATTTATTTAGAATCTTTACGGAAAATGTGAGCGAAGAAAATACTGCCTAATATCTGAACGACATAACTATATATCAAATGGAGTTATATGCGTATGTATAACGACATACATTCAAGGCCAAAAATAGCATGCCTTAAATGACGAAAACTGATTTTTCTCTATGACGTCAAAAGGCGACAGAGAGGTTACACATGTACAAAGAAAAGGGGGCATAACTCAGCTATGCTTAGCACTAGTTTATTGTAACTCAGGTCAATTGGTGAGAATTAGCTGTGGGTAAGGACAATTTATTTTCGTGGTGTTTTGTTCACGAGGAACCAAACTATTCCAACACAAATATCCATATTGAAACTGTATACTGTTTAGTTTTTAAAAAAACCCATAAGAAATGATGAAATCGTACTTCATAAAAAAAGAAGTGGATGGCCCTATCTAACCTATAACTGAGTCCTTAGTTTCCAACATTCTCCTGATTGTGTAAGTGTAATTTGACGAATGTTGGACCTTTATTAATGGAGCACTAGCCTTATCATCAAATGTAATGAAATACCCCCAAAATAACAGCATTCCTTTTGACGTCATGGCTGGTATTATGTCTTTGATAATGTCGGAGAAAGACGACACTGGTATTTTGATTAATACATATCTGCCATAATTTTCGTTCATGGTATGGAAAATCTCGATGTGTAAAACGGAATTTGACGCTTTTCGACACAACATAAAATGACTGCTTTCACCAAGTAAATAATGTCTTGAATATGTTAACAATTAGATAGTTTATTGTGTATCTTAATTGGACAAGACACGCACCTGTTTGGTATCAGTTTACTAATACCCAAAAGAATATTTCAAAACAACCAACATTATATTCAATATTGGACATATATTTGTTCATTATTATGTTATCATTTCTCTTCATCTTGTCTCAGAATTACACAATCAAAGATGCGAAGAAAGCTCTATTGGTATAGAATCTAATCGTATAAGGTTGAACAAACGGTGTACCTGGCATGGGTTTTATTTTTTATAGTTTTTACAATTTCTGGAGAAATAAAGTAAACAGTTTCATATCCTGTGTTCACAATATTGAAAAAAAGAATGAACCCATTGATTATATTATGCAAAACGAGAGGAATAATTCGTAAATTGTTTGTTACAAACGGGCACCTGGCGAATCATTAGATATCACTGATCTGTATATCAAACGACATAAAAAAAAACGATTCAATTGAGAAATGTGTGCATATATTTTAACGAAACATATTATCCATTTTGTGAAAGTAATATATTCAGTTTTAGTTATAAAATAAAATGAAACGGCTATTCATGGACATTGGTTATATGAACTTATAATATTGACTATTACACATCCTAAGAAATACGTACATGCTGCAGTTACATTTACACTTCATCTTGTAACACTTGTCCAAAGGAAACAACAAAACAAACAAAAGAAAAGAAATATCGTATTTGACACTATAAACCTATACATAATTCTTATGTAAACAATGTTCAAACAAACAGATTATCAAAGGTTCGTTCATACATGGTGTGGCCTATATATACGTATGATATCATTTTGAACATTGACAAATATCCAAAGTGAAATTAATTGTGGGAAAAAATGCAAAATCTACATAATAACTGAAACTGTAAACAGCGTGATACAATGATAGTGTGCACTCTCATTCAAGGACCTTCACCTCAAAGAAATTACCAAATATGTACAACAATGTTGACGTATGACATCACTACCGGTGACCGACTCTTACAAAATGGCCTGTTCACTGTCATCAACAGGCGGGATTTTGCGAGGGGGGTTTCGTTGATTCAGGGATCGTATATACATAAATGTGACATGTAAGAAATCAGAAACATTCTGACAATCTATGTACTGTTATTTGTTGTAATATTTTTCATTGAAACCAACGGAAATAGTCAGAAATTCCGACAAATACCGTTGTCGTTGTGCGTGATTTTGCGTCAGTCATTGCGTCACACAGAACGATAACTTTGACAATTTCTGTAGAAAATATCAAATCATTGCAATGTATCTATTTTAAATTCCCTAATTCTTCCTACGATTCTCTTTCCATGCATATTCTGAAAATGTTGAGCCAATATCTTGAACAAATAGACGAATGGATAGCTCAAAATAGGAGAAAATGCTACACTGTGTAAAATCTGAATTTTGCTTTGTTTACATTTCAAACAAGTACAGTTTTTCGAGCACAGCGTTCGTTTTCACACCTAATTTGTTTTGCTTGATTTCATCTAGGCACTTTGTATTGGTTACAAAGACCATTGGTCATTTGGTTCTAAAATGTATGAGGAATTCAAGGATGTATGTATCGCAGCTACGTTTGAAATATACGTGATGTTACAGGCGCCTCAAAACCGGTGTACCTGAAACGTGATTTTGTAAACACTATCCATTATGGCGGAAAGTTCACATCGGTTTCGTGTTTGCGCATTTTCTAAAACATTCGAAACGATTGTAGGGTTATCGGAGACGTTTTGGAATGATCATTGGTGATTTCATAAAAGACAGATACCCGTGATTACTTATATTCTATTTTTGAAATTCATTTCTCCGAGTAAATATCCGAAATTTAGATTTCAAAACATGCTGTAAACAACGCCGTGAGTGGTGAATTAGCAATGTTTAAAAAATGGCGATTTTTAAGATGTACCTTATTTTCAGAGGTCATTTTCAGTACTTGTGCTTGGCCTAAAATCCCAGTGGATGATATCACAGAACAGGAAATGTCCCACCTTATTCAAAACTGTGAAGTGTATTTTAGTGGCTGATGTATTTTTAATTTTATTCGACTTCAAAGCGAGGGTTGTAGAGGAGGGACATATATGTCCCTCTGGCATCCAGGGGGTTAAAACCGATATTATTGTTTCTTTTTTTTATAACAAATTCCATCCATTTTAGCTATAATAACGGTAACGCTATGTTTCAAAACATTATCATTTGCAGAAGCCCTCGGTCTTTTCAACTGCTCTCCTTCGTCGGGCAGTTAACCCTTTGAATGCTAGAGGGATATGTTTGTCCCTCCTATTCAACCCTCACTTTGAAGTCGAATAAAATTCATCATACTACACGCACACAAATACACTTCACAGTTTTGGATTCTGTGGGACATTCTTTGTTATGTTGTATCGTCCACTGTCATTTTAGGTAAAGCAAAATTGCTGAAAATGACCTCTGAAAAGTAGGTACATCGTAAATGTTGCCATTTTTTAGACACTACTAAACCACCATACACATCGTTATTTACGGCATGTTTTGAAATCTTAATTTCTGATATTTACTCGGAGAAATGAATTTAAAAAGCAACATATTAGTGATCACAGGTATCTGTCTTTTATCAAATCACCAATGATGATTCCAAAACGTTGCCGATAACCCTAGAATCGTTTAGAATGTTGTTGAAAATACGCAAACACGATTGCCGAAGTGAACTTTCGGACATGTTGGATAGTGTTTACAAAATCACGTTTCACGTATGCCCGAAATGCGACGCCTGTAACATCACGTGTATTTCAAACTCAGCTGCGACACATAGATAGATCCGGTGCCGCGTGAGCGCAATTGTCGCACAACATTTACTTTTCAGATCTTAGGAAATTGTGCGTCAGGAAAAAAAACTCGGCATCATGAGAGTTCATGGAAGACCTCTGGCTTCTGCAAATGATAATACCCTGAAAAAAGCGTTACCCTTATAATATCCTAGTTTGTCCCTTAATTTACAGACCTGTGAAAGTTCCGGGTTAAAATAGGTCTTCAGCAACCCATGCTTGCCGTAAAAGGCGACTATGCTTGTTGTAAAAGGCGACTAACGGGATCGGGTGGACGGGCTCGCTGACTTGGTTGATGCATGTCATCGATCCCAATTGCTTGGATCGATGCTCATGATATTAATCACTGGATTTTCTGGTCCAGACTCGATTATTTTCAGACCGCCGTCATTAAGCTGGAATATTGCCGGGTGCGGTGTTAAACAACTAACCAGCCAACCTTAATTTACAGTCCGTGTGGCTCCAAATGAGAACGATGAAGAGCAAAATAATTCAAAATCAGGAATAGTCTTTTTAATGTCAATACGATACACACCACTAAGTACCCTGTGCCCAACAATATCTGCTGTTTGTTTGTTTTATTCCCTTTATTGGAAAAGAACGTTTAAGAAACTATCATGTTACGTAACGGTAAGAGGGACGAAGATTGAGCCTTGCCATCTCCTATTACAGAACTAATTATGCCAAATATTATTATATTTCAAAATGAAACAAGAAGTCAATATTAGGCTGCAGCCTTCTTCATAGATTATGACTGTTGACTTAAGAAACACTTTGCACATTCAACCAGCGGCGACAGTGGTCAAGCTTCCGAGATGGGCCTAAGCATGCAATCAGGGGTGATGAGTGATCTTCACAAGAAACCTGGTCTTGATGTAATGAAATGTGTGACGTTTTTAGCTATTCGAAATTTGCATAAAGTGCCATCACCATTCTAGCGGCACTAGAACATTACAGAATATTCCACATCACACTAGCATCTTAATGTAGTAACTTCCTTAAAACTGTTAACATTAAACAGTACTACTTTCCTGACAACTGTCCAAAAGAAATGCAGTTAGCTTCTAACGAGCCACAACAGAAACAAAGTAAAACAATTTAACAATAACAATCACTGCCACATAACAGTGTTCAATCAAAGTAGCTTTCCTGCAATTTCAAGCTGACAGAAATGTTACAAAACGTATTCATTCTTGACCTCTTGCTATCAGAAATGCATTTTCATGAACATACATTGTACACCCTGTAAAACCCTTTATATCATTAAACAAGTCGTGGTAATAAGTAGTTGCCAAACGAAAGGCTTCCCTTTTAAACTTCTCTGATGAAGGAAGATACATATGAGATATGTTAACTTACGTTGCTTTAAGGCTTGCAAGGAATAACAGGTCCTGTCAGCTTGACGTTCACACATTCAATGACGCAGGTTGCTAGGAGCATTGTATTACAACACGACTCATCCGATTGGGTTGTGTAGACCGCCTTACAAGCCAGCATACCTGACAGCTGTGACAAACCCAAGCGCAAATGCAGGTTTGGATGGAGGTGCTTGGCTCAAACTGTTGACGCTGGTGAGTTACATATTTGAACACTGATTCACGTACGAGCTATAGATGGCATATTCATATCTGTCCTTATCATACTTGATCTGTAATCCATCTACGTTGGCTTACACTTTGTTCTCAACTAAGCAGCTAGCATCTATCTTTTTCATGTAAAGCTTTGGTATCATTACGTTTGTAGGCTTTTCACATACATAGTTGCCTTTGGATGCATGTGTTGCCCACAGGGATGAAAGAAGTGGTTTTATTATTTAAGACACATTGATCTATCATCTAATCATTGATAATAAACTCTCATCGTCATCCAACAAAATGGACGAAATTATACGTTCGCTTCTTTCCATTACAAATTCACAATAACATGTTAATTCTGCTCAAAGTATAGTTTCCATATATTACTGACTTCTTTTTAATGAAATAAAGGGTTTTACAGGGTGTACAATGTATGTTTATGAAAATGCATTTCTGATGACAAGAGGTCAAGAATGAATAAGTTTTGTCACATTTCTGTAAGCTTGTAAATGCGGGAAAGCTACGTTGATTGAACACTGTTATGTGGCAGTGAATGAAATTGTTAAATAGTTTTACTTTGTTTCTGTTGTGGCTCGGTAGAAGCTTATTGCATTTCCTTTGGACAGTTGTTAGGAAAGTAGTACTGTATAATGTAAACAGCTTTAAGGAAGTTACTATATTTAGATGCTTGGGTGGTGTGGAATATTCTGTAATGTTCTAGTGCCGCTAGAATGGTAATGGCATTGTGTGCAAATTTCGAATAGCTAAAAAACGTCACACATTTCATTACATCAAGACCAGGTTTCTTGTGAAGATCACTCATCACCCCTGATTGTATGCTTAGGCCCATCTCGGAAGCTTGTCTGTTGTCGCCGCTGGTTGAATGTACAAGTATCACTGACTATTTAAAAACAAACCACTACCATCCTATTATGTATTGCCATTGGCTATTTTGATACCACTTTATTATGTACTGCAATTGCAATAGCTGGGCAGCAGCTTGTTTTGATTTGTAAACTTAGTTAATTTTGTATTATGTTTTAATATGTTGATTGCACACAACTTGTTGGTTGTTGCTTGATTTCACACGACATTCGTTTGCTTACAGATTTCTGGGTTAACATATTGTTTCAATTTAGGAATCAGCAACTAACAACCCAGGATCTCTTGATTGGAACTGACACTCTGACCAGTGTTCATCTGGATTCCAAAACTCAGTCACTGGATGCTTGCACATATTACTTTTTAACCTGCTTACGCCTTTCTTAGAATTGTAGTCATACGTAGACTAATCAAAACCAAATACGTGAAATTACGACAAAAATATGTTTCTGTAATTATATTTTGTGAAGAAAATGAAAATATGTATTTCTTATGCTATAAATATATTTACATATTTAGAAATGTCTTTGTCAAGATTGTTACAATCTGTTTCAGATATGTCACTGCCACTTCATGTTCTTCCCAGCACGCGTTATGACGACAAACTCAAGAAGTCTTTTAGAGACCAGCTGTCACTCCACGTTGAACTGAACAAGGAACTGTCCCCGACTCTTTCACCGCCGATCATTGTGATATTCCGGCCTCAAGGCAGACCGAATGATGAATTTGATGGCGTGGTTCTACCTTTCCTTCATAACTGTAAGATTTGCTATAAGTGAAAATTGTACTGTTAGCGAGTGCAGATGTTGACTGATTGTTTTCTGGCTGAAATAATTCCGATGCCGCGTTAAAGTTTAACTCATTCTCGTCTGTTTAACATTTTCCGTTATTCTGTTGGATGTAAACAGTGGACTTACTTGATCCGATGAATGTTAGATTAGGTGATATTAAATAAACATATAAAGAATGATTAAATATTCCATTGTGTCATTGAAGCTTATTATGTCATCCTCCCTTTTGAATGTGAAGCGACCAAAGCAACATCACTTTGGGGCTGGTTTCTAAACAATTTATTGATAACAATTAATGTATTACAACATCAAGGCTTGTCACAGTAAGAACTAAGGAACATTATATCTTCATCAATCCAACTACTGAACGACACTTAAGGAAAGCCAAATTTTTAAAGTCTGTACACTTACTAGAGGATGCCAAATAAATCATATGAATATTATTAAGCATTTTTCCCTCTCCAAGGTTCTTTTTCATGTCTTTATGTTAGGTCAACCTCCTTGTAGGGATATAATTCTCCTCACTGCCTTCGCCACGTCACAGCGGTATGGTCGTGGCTTCACTCCGGCTTGTGCATCAGGCATCAAGTACAAGGACAAACTCTTTGTGACGTCCGGACATCTTGATACACAAGTTAACAAGTCCACATTTGAAAGCCTTGGAGATATCTTTGTGAAAGAATATAACTTTAAGGTATGTAAGATTCACAAATCAAATAGGATAAATATTCTTCAAAGATTTGGCAGTTTGGACTCACATCGAAACTAGCCATCTTTTTGTAACCGGGATTGTTTAGATATATAGGAAGACCAGGCTACGGGTGTGAGACTTTATTCCTTTGTCTATTGATAGATTAACACCCTGAAACACATGTATAGGGAATACATACTAGTTCAGGATACATATATACACATATATGAGTAAATACAAAAAATAATATCACAAACCAATTCTATTACAAAAGGAGTAATTCTTATATCGTTCCTCAGAAAACATACGCAATAAATAATACTATACAGAAATAATGACATTGTCATCAACACATTTTAAATGAGGCAACCTTCCAAGAACGATTACTCCTTGATATGACAAACACAAGGCAAATACTTCATACAAACGTACACATTGCGATGATCGTTAAACAAATTCAATGCTAGAGATCGAGAAACTATGTATCTAACACAATTGCACTTTAATGGCACAGTGATAAGTTTCGTACCCTGTGGGTGACACTGGGGTGTAGATTATTTCACTTCCTCTGGAGGAATATAGCGCTGCTTTTAAAAATAAACAAACCACATTTAGAATATTCTGAATGCGCACTTATATACATGAACATGGTGTTGTATACGTTACTAATGAACTTCATGACGATAATGTATATGAAATGTCAGGTCATATCATTCATTCGTTCTTACATTCAACCATTTATACACTGTAGCTAACATTTTAATAATCCTGAACAGTATTACAAACTTATGTATAAACGCCATTGCACAAAATATACACAACTACGCAATTATACATTTTAGCAAACATTATCATGCACTAGAATTTCAATGAATTTACATCAATACCATTACTACTCAGTACATTAAGTTAATCCGCTCTGGGGTAGATACTGCAGAGAGAACATATTCTCCACTTCGCATCCACCTTGGTTGTGTTTCGATTCGGCCCGATCACAGTGGAACAGGAATTGGTGTTTCTCTCTGTCTTTATACCTGGCACAATACATCGCATGAATTGATTGAATTTAATATTGAGGAGTTTGTTTAATGTTGTAGCAGACATCGGACGTGGGATCAGTACATCTGTTTGGAGGCCAAGGTAAACGTTCTTTGATATTCACGTGTACGCACTTTAAAGAGCTGTACTGACAAATTTAGTAAAATAAACATTTTTATAACACACTGTTCTAACAGATCCGATTTCTTTTGAATGAGATATAAATTTATCATTCAGTAATGATACGCAACACATAATACATCTACTGTCTTTCAGTCATAGCGCACACAGGGATCTCAACTGGGTGTGTTGCCAGCAGTCACAGGGACAGTTTCTACCCTACTGATAATGTTGCCAGCAGCCAAGGGGACAGGGGCAACCCTACTGATAATGTTACAAGCAGCCAAGAGAACAGGGGCAACCCCACTGATAATGTTACTATCAGCCAAGAGGATAGGGGAAACAATACCGATAATGTTGCCATAGGCCAAGGGGTCAGAGGCAACCCAACTCATAATGTTACCAGCAGCCAAGAGGACAGGGGCAACCCTACTGATGATGTTGCCACCAGCCAAGAGAACAGACTCAACCCTACTGATAATGTTACCAGCAGCCAAGAAAACAGAGTCAACCCTACTGATAATGTTGCCAGCAGCCAAGGGGAAAGGGGCAACCCTACTGATAATGTTACAAGCAGCCAAGAGAACAGGGGCAACCCCACTGATAATGTTACTATCAGCCAAGAGGATAGGGGAAACAATACCGATAATGTTGCCATAGGCCAAGGGGTCAGAGGCAACCCAACTCATAATGTTACCAGCAGCCAAGAGGACAGGGGCAACCCTACTGATGATGTTGCCACCAGCCAAGAGAACAGACTCAACCCTACTGATAATGTTACCAGCAGCCAAGAAAACAAAGTCAACCCTACTGATAATGTTACCAGCAGCCAACAGAACAGAGTCAACCCTACTGATAATGTTACCAGCAGCCAAGAGAACAGAGTCTACCCTAAAGATAATGTTGCCAGCAGCCAAGAGAACAGGGGCAACCCTACTGATAATGTTACCAGCAGCCAAGAAAACAGAGTCAACCCTACTGATAATGTTACCAGCAGCCAAGAGAACAGAGTCAACCCTAAACATAATATTGCTAGCAGCCAAGAGAACAGGGGCATCCCTACTGATAATGTTACCAGCAGCCAAGAAAACAGAGTCAACCCTACTGATAATGTTACCATCAGCGAAGGGGACAGTGGCTACCCTACTGATAATGTTACCAGCAGCCAAGAAAACAGAGTCAACCATACTGATAATGTTGCCAGCAGCCAAGAGAACAGGGGCAACCCTAATGATAATGTTGCCATCAGCGAAGGGGACAGTGGCTACCCTACTGATAATGTTGCCACCAGCCATTGGGGCAGAGTCAACCCTACTGATAATGTTACCAGCAGCCAAGAAAACAGAGTCAACCCTAAAGATAATGTTACCAGCAGCCAAGAAAACAGAGTCAACCCTACTGATAATGTTACCAGCAGCCAACAGAACAGAGTCAACACTACTGATAATGTTGCCACCAGCCAAGAAAACAGAGTCAACCCTACTGATAATGTCACCAGCAGCCAAGAAAACAAAGTCAACCCTACTCATAATGTTACCAGCAGCCAAGAGAACAGAGTCAACCCTAAAGATAATGTTGCCAGCAGCCAAGAGAACAGAGTCAACCCTCCTGATAATGTTGCCAGCAGCCAAGAGAACAGAGTCAACCCTCCTGATAATGTCACCAGCAGCCAAGAAAACAGAGTCAACCCTAATGATAATGTTACCAGCAGCCATGAAAACAGAGTCAACCCTCCTGATAAGTTTACCAGCAGCCAAGAGGACAGGGGCAACCCTACTGATAATGTTACCATCAGCGAAGCGGACGGAGGCAACCATTCTGATAATGTTACCAGCAGCCAAGGGAGCAGAGTCAACCCTAATGATAATGTTACTAGCAGACAAGGGGTCAGAGGCAACCCAACTGATAATGTAACCAGCAGCCTAGAGGGCAGAGTCAACCCTAATGATAATGTTACCAGCAGCCAAGAGGACAGGGGCAACCCTACAGATAATGTTACCATCAGCGAAGCGGACGGAGACAACCCTTCTGATAATGTTACCAGCAGCCAAGGGAGCAGAGTCAACCCTAATGATAATGTTACCAGCAGCCAAGGGGACAGGGGCAACCCAACTGATAATGTTACCATCAGCGAAGAGGACAGTGGCAACCCTACTAATAATGTTACCAGCAGCCAAGAGAACAGGGGCAACCCAACTGATAATGTTACCAGCAGCGAAGAGGACTGGGGCAACCCTACTAATAATGTTACCAGCAGCCAAGAGAGCAGAGTCAACCCTAATGATAATGTTACCAGCAGCCAAGAGAACAGGGGCAACCCTACTAATAATGTTACCAGCAGCCAAGAGAGCAGAGTCAACCCTAATGATAATGTTAACAGCAGCGAAGGGGACAGGGGCAACCCTACTGATAATGTTGCCAGCAGACAAGGGGTCAGAGGCAACCCAACTGATAATGTTAACAGCAGCCAAGAGGGCAGAGTCAACCCTAATGATAATGTTACCAGCAGCCCAGGGGACAGGGGCAACCCTTCTGATAATGTTACCAGCAGCCAAGAGAACAGGGGCAACCCTACTGGTTATGTTGCCAACAACCTAGAGAACAGGGGCAACCCTACTGATAATGTTACCATCAGTGACTTGGACAGTGCCAACCCTACTTATAATGTTACCATCAGCCAAGGGGACAGGGGCAACCCTACTGATAATGCTGCCAGCAGCCAATGGCACAATGTCAACCCTTCTGTTAATGTTACCAACAGCCAAGAGAACAGGGGAAACCCTACTGATAATGTTACCAGCAGCCAAGAGGACAGGGGAAACAATACCGATAATGTTGCCAGAGGCCAAGGGGGCAGAGTCAACCCAAATGATAATGTTGCCAGCAGCCAAGAGAACAAGGGCAACCCTACTGATAATGTTACCAGCAGCCAAGAGTGCAGAATCAACCCTACTAATAATGTTACAAGCAGCCAAGAAAACAGAGTCAACCCTACTGATAATGATGCCAGCAGCCAAGAGAACAGAGTCAACCCTACTGATAATGTTGCCAGCAGCCAACAGAACAGAGTCAACCCTACTGATAATGTTACCAGCAGCCAAGAAAACAGAGTCAACCCTACTGATAATGTTGCCAGCAGCCAAGAAAACAGAGTCAACCCTACTGATAATGTTACCAGCAGCCAAGAAAACAGAGTCAACCCTACTGATAATGTTACAAGCAGCCAACAGAACAGAGTCAACCCTACTGATAATGTTACCAGCAGCCAAGAAAACAGAGTCAACCCTACTGATAATGTTACAAGCAGCCAACAGAACAGAGTCAACCCTACTGATAATGTTACCAGCAGCCAAGAAAACAGAGTCAACCCTACTGATAATGTTACCAGCAGCCAACAGAACAGAGTCAACCCTACTGATAATGTTACCAGCAGCCAAGAAAACAGAGTCAACCCTACTGATAATGTTACAAGCAGCCAACAGAACAGAGTCAACCCTACAGATAATGTTACCAGCAGCCAAGAAAACAGAGTCAACCCTACTGATAATGTTACCAGCAGGCAACAGAACAGAGTCAACCCTACTGATAATGTTACCAGCAGCCAAGAAAACAGAGTCAACCCTACTGATAATGTTACAAGCAGCCAACAGAACAGAGTCAACCCTACTGATAATGTTACCAGCAGCCAAGAGAACAGAGTCAACCCTAAAGATAATGTTGCCAGCAGCCAAGAGAACAAGGGCAACCCTACTGATAATGTTACCAGCAGCCAAGAAAACAGAGTCAACCCTACTGATAATGTTACCAGCAGCCAAGAGTGCAGAATCAACCCTACTAATAATGTTACAAGCAGCCAAGAAAACAGAGTCAACCCTACTGATAATGTTGCCAGCAGCCAACAGAACAGAGTCAACCCTACTGATAATGTTGCCAGCAGCCAAGTAAAAAGAGTCAACCCTACTGATAATGTTACCAGCAGCCAAGAAAACAGAGTCAACCCTACTGATAATGTTACAAGCAGCCAACAGAACAGAGTCAACCCTACTGATAATGTTACCAGCAGCCAAGAGAACAGAGTCAACCCTAAAGATAATGTTGCCAGCAGCCAAGAGAACAGGGGCAACCCTACTGATAATGTTACCAGCAGCCAAGAAAACAGAGTCAACCCTTCTGATAATGTTACCAGCAGCCAAGAGAACAGAGTCAACCCTAAAGATAATGTTGCCAGCAGCCAAGAGTACAGGGGCAACCCTAGTGATAATTTTACCAGCAGCCAAGAGGGCAGAGTCAACCCTACTGATAATGTTACCAGCAGCCAAGAGGACAGGGGCAACCCTACTGATAATGTAACCAGCAGCCAAGAGAACAGGTGCAAGCCTACTGATAATGTTACCAGCAGCGAAGGGATAAGTGGCTACCCTACTGATAATGTTGCCACCAGCCATTGGGGCAGAGTCAACCCTACTGATAATGTTACCAGCAGCGAAGAGAACAGGGGCAACCCTACTGATAATGTAACCAGCAGCCAAGAGAACAGGGGCAACCCTACTGATAATGTTACCATCAGCGAAGGGGAAAGTGGCAGCCCTTCTGATAATGTTACCATCCGCCAAAGGGACAGAGGAAACCTTACTGATAAAGTTGCCAGCAGTCATTGGGGCAGAGTCAACCCTACTGATAATGTTACCAGCAGCGAAGAGAACAGGGGCAACCCTACTGATAATGTAACCAGCAGCCAAGAGGGCAGAGTCAACCCTACTGAAAATGTTGCCAGCAGCCAAGAGAACAGGGGCAACCCTACTGATAATGTTACCATCAGCGAAGGGGAAAGTGGCAACCCTTCTGATAATGTTACCATCAGCCAAGGGGACAGAGGAAACCCTACTGATAATGTTGCCAGCAGTCAAGGGGACAATGTCAACCCTTCTGGTAATGTTACAAGCAGCCAAGAAAACAGAGGCAACCCTACTGAAAATGTTACCAGCAGCCAAGAGAGCAGAGTCAACCCTAATGACAATGTTAAAAGCAGCCAAGGGGACAGGGGCAACCCAACTGATAATGTTACCAGCAGCGAAGAGGACAGGGGCAACCCTACTGATAATGTTGCCAGCAGACAAGGGGTCAGAGGCAACCCAACTGATAATGTTACCAGCAGCGAAGAGGACAGGGGCAACCCTACTGATAATGTTACCAGCAGCCAAGGAGACAGGGGCAACCCTACTGATAATGTTGCCAGCAGCCTAGAGGACAGAGTCAACCCTACTGATAATGTTGCCAGCAGCCAAGAGAACAGGGGCAACCCTACTGATAATGTTACCATCAGCAAAGGGGAAAGTGGCAACCCTTCTGATAATGTTACCATCAGCCAAGGGGACAGAGGCAACCCTACTGATAATGTTGCCAGCAGTCAAGGGGACAATGTCAACCCTTCTGGTAATGTTACAAGCAGCCAAGAAAACAGGGGCAACCCTACTGATAATGTTAACAGCAGCGAAGAGGACAGGGGAAACCCTACTGATAATGTTACCAGCAGCGAAGAGGACAGGGGAAACCCTACTGATAATGTTACCAGCAGCCAAGGAGACAGGGGCAACCCTGCTGATAATGTTGCCAGCAGCGAAGAGGACAGGGGCAACCCTACTGATAATGTTACCAGCAGCGAAGAGGACAGGGGCAACCCTACTGATAATGTTACCAGCAGCGAAGAGGACAGGGGCAACTCTACTGATAATGTTACCAGCAGCCAAGGAGACAGGGGCAACCCTGCTGATAATGTTGCCAGCAGCCTAGAGGACAGAGTCAACCCTACTGATAATGTTGCCAGCAGTCAAGAGAACGGGGGCAACCCTACTGATAATGTTACCATCAGCCAAGGGGAAAGTGGCAACCCTTCTGATAATGTAAACATCAGCCAAGGGGACAGAGGCAACCCTACTGATAATGTTGCCAGCAGTCAAGGGGACAATGTCAACCCTTCTGGTAATGTTACAAGCAGCCAAGAAAACAGGGGCAACCCTACTGATAATGTTAACAGCAGCGAAGAGGACAAGGGAAACCCTACTGATAATGTTACCAGCAGCGAAGGGGACAGGGGAAACCCTACTGATAATGTTGCCAGCAGACAAGGGGTCAGAGGCAACCCAACTGATAATGTTACCAGGAGCCAAGGGGCCAGGGGCAAACCTACTGTTAATGTTGCCAGTAGCCATGGGGCCATTGGCATCCCTACTGATAATGTTGCCAGCAGCAATGGGTACATAGTCAACCGTACTGATAATGTTGCCAGCAGCCATGGGGTCAGGGGCCACTCTTACTACTGTGATACGGACAGATTACGGGCTGCACGGGAAGAAATGAAGAAAGGGACAACTGTTTTGCAACAGGAGGTGGAGGCCCGGTTCAGGTTGTCACCAGGGATACTTCTTCAAATGCTTGAAAAGGTCGTGACATATCTGGAACAGGAACGAGAGGTAACAGAAATCTCATGATCTTGGGTATAAAACGTTTTGTCATCAACCATATGTTTCAGATTGTGCTTGTCAAACTCATATATTTCTACCTCTGAAACATTGTAGGTTTAACAATTGCTTGTTAATTCTATGTCCCTGTAGACATCCCAGGTCAGAAAACCTCATGTATGTCACCCGAAATGTTTAAAGTTAGGTTGTCGCTGACTGTTTGTCATTATGCCATGAAGTCATATATTATTGCTTATGCTTTCAGTTACTGTGGTTTAAATTGAAAAGTTCTGACTTGGCGACCACAGGCATCCCCCCTGCTTCATTCCACAGATTATATTATTTACTTAATCATTAGTACAGTGGTTAATTGTTATAGATATGTGTAGATATCTGCCTAGGTAGATCCTAGTTACAATAGGTCTTCAGCAACCCATGCTTGCCGTAAAAAGGCGACTATGCTTGTCATAAGAGGCGACTCACGTGATCGGGTGGTCAGGCTCGCTGACTTGGTTGATGCATGTCATCGTATCCCAATTGCGATGGATGCTCATGATGTCAATCACTGGATTGTCTGGTCCAGATTCGATTATTTACACAGACCGTCGTCATATAGCTGGAACATTGCTGAGTGTGGCGTTAAACAGCAAACAAACAAGATATTCAAGTGTATTTTTTTAGCTAACGTTTTAATAGTTTATTATTATTTTCTTTTCGTTTGTGTGTATCGATATATGATGTTCAACAAAGATATAGAGTTGTGTAAAAGTTTTGTGAGTGCTTTCTAGGCCACGACACCGAATAATTTATCCACGATATCAGCAGGAAAGTTTGCAATAAGCATTGGTGAAAGTCACCTTTCAACAGCGGATCAAGCATTTTTTAAAGGGAGGGGTCAAATAAGAAGATTCTTCCTCAGTGTGTGTTGTCTACGAGGTGATTGTCATCTCAGTTATGGGTGCATAGGAAGCGTCCAAGGTGAAGGTCAGCTACCATCAATAACGCGTATGCCCCCCGTTGGAATCGGTAGCGGCCTGACATCTCCTGTCCATAGAAGAGACGAGTATGCGAATCGCATCCTGGGGAATGGTAGCCCACTCGTCCTGTAACGCAAAAGCCTGGTTGACGTCAGCGTAGTCGTCTATCCATATCATCCCGAGGTATCGGGTTCAAATCCGGGGATCTGGGGGCCGGGAGAGAACATCAATGTTGGTGTTGTGTAGACAGGCTCTTTTGATCCGTGTTGTGTGTTCTGCGTTGTTCTGCAGGAATACACCCTTGCCGCAGGCTGCAATTGAAGGACGTGTCGTGGTAGAATGTTGTTGATGTATCATTGAGCCGTAAGATTGTCCTGGATATGGAGCAAACCTGTCTTGATGAGAGATAACCGATTCAATATGACGCGTTGAACAGGATGTTTGCTCGTAGACCTACTGCTCTCAAACGGTTTCGTATGGTCGGCGCATTTCGAGTATTTTGGATACAGTTGAGGGGGTTGTGGTCGTCCTTTCACGTAGGTAGCGCAGTCGGATGTAGCGATCTTGGACGGGGGTGGTTACTCTTGGTTGTCTTCACCTTGGCCAATCACGTGTTGACCCATGCTGTATAAACCGATCCCTTGTGATGGTGCTGGGCGCTACATTAAAAACCTTTGCTACAGCTGATCGGGATTCCCCTGCCTGCAAGCTGCCTATGACGTTATTTCTTTGCACTTCTGTTGATCTTCGCATGTTGTTAAACTGTCACTGTTTGATTGGCAATCAAAAACCCTGCACTTATTTACCGTTAATATAGCTGATGCACGTGCAGTGCTAGCAGCTACATGGCCCTCATTAATTGAACTTCGGGAAGGGAAACCAGCACTATGTGTCAGACAGAGATATGGAATTCTATTACATGTCATACAAAATACTACTACCCTCCATGTGAATGAGTGAGTGTGGTTTAACACCGCTTTTAGCAATATTTCAGCAATATCACAGCGGGGGACACCAGAAATGGGCTTCACACATTGTGCCCATGTCGGGAATCGAATCCGGGTCGTGCATGTATTTCAAGAGACGTTTTCATGTTTTTTTCAGGCTGCAGCATCTTCAGAGATAAAGGAAAAATGTAAGTTCCAAACGGAAGTTTCTAATCTGAGAAGTAAATACAGAAGTAATGTAATTGTAGTGTAAATTTATGACGGGGCACCAATGAAATAGTTAATGAGACTTTAAATTCATTGTACGTTTAATACATCTTACCATTATCAGTGTAATGCTGACAACATAGAGTTTTCATACACCTTTAAATCTCTTATCAATGGATTAAATATACGTTTCGTAATCCTTAAATAAAAGTTATGAACATCCTTAATGAATGAAAAATCAATATTTCAATTCTTTATATAGCTTATTATTTGGATACAGAATTGACCCTTACGACTTAATGATAATTGTTTCATCTAAGTACAAGGATGTGATAATGATTGAAATTATCTTCAGCTCCACCTCTGCTTAGAGTCGATGTGGCCAACAAGATAGAGAAGCAGCTGGCAATGGATGAAGGATCAGTTAATAAGATCATAAAATCTCTGCTAAAGGTACATTCACTTTTGGGCTGTAATAAAGAACTGTGTTAGGTAAGTTTGGTGCTTTTATACACAGATGATACACCATGACTATTTCAGTGTTATTTGTCCCATAGCTCGGAGTCATGCCAAGTGTAAATGTATTCAAAGCTTGTTGAGTTTTATTTGGAGGACACAAAACAAATACAAACAAAATCAATGATACAGCAGATGAACTGATTTGAACTGATGAGAAGTTGTTTCTCATTTATGTTTTGCGGCTAAGCGATGATGATTATGAGGGAGGAAGGCTGCAGTGTGAACTGTTTGATTGGTCCTTTCAGGTGAAGCCAGGAGTGAAATGGTATAGCGGACTGAAGAACTGGTTGCATTGGGGACGCTGAAGAAAGTCTGGGGGAGTTGTTGTGACGAAGTTTCATATGACGCCTCCACTTGAGCAGCTTGTAGGCAAACAGGTTTAGCCAGAGGAACTAAATGAACATGAGTGTGCGAACTGGTTGAGGCGATATACATAAAAGGACGTAGTTGTCTTATCCAGTAACTTTAAGGGACATTTGCATCAGGTTAGGCGAATGTTATGTACCCATCCATAATCTCAAATACCTAGTGAAGTAGTCATCAAAATTCGACTGTTTTCAGGCAGCAGACTCTACATATGAGGTTTTATATATCATACCAGACTGGAGATACTTTAGGCTTGGCCAGGCAAAAGCAAACGAATCTATATCCCATGTCAGACTGTAAATAAGGTTGATTGTTGAAATTTGAGTGTGTAATGTTTACCCAATGCTCTTATTTGCTTTGTATGTGCAAGGCCGAATATATTTCAGAGTTTACAGAACATATGTAGTGCTATTGGTTTTTTTTGGTTTTTTGTATGTACAGAAGCTTAACTCATCTGTGCTGATATAAGGCTTAATAGATGTTGAGGATAACACGTGGTGCTTGCAAACCCATTGGGTAAAGAAGCACCTTTGCACTATATTCTGATCATCGTATCACATTAAACAGGTGACAACCAAGAGAGGGTATAGAAATGACAACCAATGGATAATAATCCACTACCCACGAATCCACGAATAACGGATCCTCTCACGCCTACAACTTAATTTTATTTAACAGACTTGAATTGTATTTAATGTGTTTACAAATAAGAAACATATAACTATTATACAGTATACACTGTCTTACGACTCTGTGCAAAGCGGGAATCCTGTTTTCTCGACGAGAGTGAACTAGAAAAGGGTGCCAGACATCTAGGTTCCTGCATATTTTACCACAAGGTTCCCATTGAAGTAACATTGTGTAAATATACTGCAATAGTTGTTATCAGTGCCCATGTCATTCGTGCTGGAAGTGAAGTGTTGGAAAGTAAATACTTGACAGCTCATGTCGATGATATAATACTGCAGTACAACACCAGTGTAAATAATTGAGACTGTAGCCACTTATTTATTTTTTGCCCTCGGCCAGTGAACAAATTCGTGACCATTAAATGATTCACAAATTTCACGTGATTTTAGAAGCGCATTTGTATTGAAGCGTGCTCTCGTGACGATTTTTGTTCATCTGATCAACCGGAAAATACAGATAGATATATATTCCTAAGGAGCATATTGCATATAAATGGACGTCGAAAGGCTGCGTTTTTGTATGGATTATTCCATTATAAATTTGCAGAGGAATTCTATTAATTGAGTGTCTCTTGTACATTTTCAAAAGTGATTAAATATATCCTTCCAAACCAAAAGCTCTGTTAGCTGTCTTTGCGATTTAAAACATGTATGGGGTACCTGTTTTAATAAAGGTTTCATAAAATTGCTACCTAGTTTACTTTGATTTTATGTTAATGATAGTGCCAGACATGTTCCTGGAACACATACATTACAGAGGTTCAAATTGTTGGTGTTTTTCAACCCAGTCCTCCATGATATCGGAATATTCATCAACAATTTATAATCTAAATCCCTTAGGGTCATAGTTGTCCTTAAACACCTGGGAATTCATGAAACCATTTTCCTAACATATTTGTTTAACTTGTTTCTTCTTATTCACCCATCACATCCTTACTGTAGAACTTTCCCCGAGTATTTAAAAGGTCTCTCTAAAATGGATCATCGATATTCTAATGCATACTGATACAAGCTCCTTCATTTAAGAAATGTGGAAATGGAAAATAGGATATTTTGGCCATTGATTCAGAATTGACAGTTTTAAAGAATCGCATTGAGATCTATCATCGTCAGCCAACTTCTTCATAGAGCATAATTAAATTGATCCTCTTAATGTTATCAGGTTTGTCATTCCAGATGAAGTTATAGAAAATTATATTTAGTGTTTTTATTATTTCTGGCGGATTTGGCAATGATCTAAAAATATGTACTATTGTTAACAATGCAAGTGTCTTGATATCTGTAATTTTACCAAATAATGTCAAGTTTCTTCTCCTCTAGCTCGC